TGTTCTGTTCTGTTCTGTTCTGTTCTGTTCTGTTCTGTTCTGTTCTGTTCTGTTCTGTTCTGTTCTGTTCTGTTCTGTTCTGTTCTGTTCTGTTCCGTTCCGTTCCGTTCTGTTCGGGTCGGGTCAGGTTGGGTTTGGTCTACTCTGGTCTGGTCTGGTCTGGTCTGGTCTGGACGGGCCTGGTCAGGTCTGGTCTGGTCTGATGTGGTCTGATGTGGTCCGGTTTGGTCTGGTCTGGGTAGGTCAGGTCTAATCTGGTCCGGTCTGGTCTGGTCTGGTCTGGTCTGGTCTGGTCTGGTCTGGTCTGGTCTGGTCTGGTCTGGTCTGGTCTGGTCTGGTCTGGTCTGGTCTGGTCTGACTTCCAAACCTTGTCTGACTGATACAGGCATTCACAAATTGATTGAAGTTGATTTGTTTGTTTTTTCTGTTGCTTTTTTTTTTTAATTTCCACCTGTGGAATCTTGTTCAGATGGTGTTCAGTAAACTGGGCGATGAAGTACCAGAACTTCGGGCAATTGGCGACCGTTTGCTGTTACGAGCCATGGATCTTTTGGACGGTGTCGATTGCATGCCAAGTGTTCTGCATGGTGACCTCTGGGTAGGGATGAATCCCTTGTGCCATCCACAGATTGACAAGCTCTCCTCTTTTGCAAAAGAGAACAAAAAATAAAAAATCCTTTTTAATATCCCAGTTTAAAAATCCTTTTTAAAAACTGTTTAACTGCTTAAGTGTGTATACTTTTGAGAATCTATAATAGTTGAATGTGCTGTGTTTGGCACAACTTTCAGCCCCGAAACGCACATTTATTGTTGTCATGTTTTGTTTCTTCAACTTTCTTGTTTGCTTTTTTTTTTTCAACAAAAAATAAGAATAAAAATAAAAATTATTGTTTGCGTTATTCTTGGTTGCAGCAATGCACTCAGCGTTCATCCAATGATGACATTATCATCTCAACAGCCTGATGTAAAAGTGCATGCAATGCTGCAGTGTGTCCATTGGGATACCAACTGCAGATTATAGGGCTTCGTTAGACACTCCTCGGGACGTGATTCCAAGGATTTCGTCTTCGTTCCACCTGTCCTCGGAGATGAAATCAGAAATGAAAATGTGAAAACACTCCGAGGACAAATCCTTAAGCTCCGAGGATTTCCCAGCCAAATCGTCCTCGGCTCCAAAGGACCTCGCGAGGTCCTTTGGGGCCCGAGGATCCGTGTTTCATGGAGAGGAGAGGACATGCACGTAGAGAGACGTTACAACCGAGAATTCGGATCGTGGCGGCACCCTATTGGCTGAACGCCTGAAGCACAACTTTTTTTCTTTTTTTTTTCCCTTTTTTTTTCTGACATTGCTCCGAGGATGAGTCCTAAAGCCAATGCTCCGAGGATGAGTGGAACGAAGACGACAAAAACCCTAAACTTTTCCGAGCCCGAAGATGCCCTGCTGAGTGTCTAACGACGCCCATAGAAACATAGCTGGGACAGCTGATGAGCAACCTGTCGGTTGGGATAGCAGTCGGGGTAGCATAGTTGGGATACCTGCAGGGATATGGGCTTGGTATGATTATATGAATTTATATCCCAATTTGAGATATTCAGGTTGGGATATTGACTGCTCTCTCTCAGATGTGTGGCCAAAGAAAAACCCAACCTGCTGGTTTTCTAAGGACCACTTTATGGCCACCACTGTCTATTATCTGCGAAAAATAGCCTGAAATGGTCACGGTCGCTTTGGAGAGATGCTGCCTGCTACCGTCCTCCGCCCCCCGAACATAACGCACATGCGTTGTATTCGAGTTTTCGAAAAATTCGAATAGAACGCATATGCGTCGTGTTCAAAAAATAAGGGCTGCTCGAATAGAACACACGTGTGTTGTATTCGAACATATATCAACCTATGCGTTGTTGTATTCATTTGCAACTCATATGCGTTATGTTTGGGGGAAGACGGTTACCTTCTTTGGCCTAGGCACAGAGCACAAGGGCATCCTTGTTCGTATTGCATGCATGACACCATGTCACGCTGCATAGTATGTCTGCTATTGTAAGCTAGGGTCAGGATTGGTCTTAAAGCACACAAGTACATGCCAGCTATCGGCCCCGGGCCCCTTTCGGAGGCCGCACGCCGCCGATTCATTTTATCTATGGCGCTCGGCCTCCTAAATTTTCGGAGAGGCTTGAAACAGGTTCTCTAGTTGCCTGGGGCCATGTAGTACTGGTGGTTTAAAAGCTCCGTGCTTTGCACCATAACACGACCTCCTGGAAATGGCTATTGGGAACTGATACGGATTCTGAATTTGATGTGCTGATGTGTTTTAACTGTGCTGTCCCGGTCCACCATTCATGTTTGTTTCTGGTTTTTTTTTTTTTTGTTTGTTTCTGTTGGCTAACCAAGAACAAACTAATGGGCACATTGGATGGATGGATAGGTGGGTCGGGGGATAGATGGATGCAAGGGAGGGGATGGAAGGGTGGGTGGGTCGGTGAATGGATGGGATGGATGGAATGCAGATAGGGAACTCAGGATTGACCAGAAATGGAGAAGTTGCAATTTTTGACCCGGCATGTTTCGTCGGCCATTCAGAATTTGGTGAGTTGAACTGAGTTCACATTATCGACGTCCTTTTGCGTTGTGTGTCCACGTCAATCATGCACCCTAAGCCCCCCTTAAGTAGAGTATATGTAATTGGAATTAATATATTATATATATCATACTTGCGGCGCATCGGCCCTGTGCGCTGCGCGGTGCGCGGACCCGAGGTGTGCGCGCACCTGGGTGCGCGGTGCGCTGCACACAGGGCCGGTGCGCTGGGGGGTGTGCGCTGGCGGGCCGCATATGCGCCAGGTGCACACATAGTATATTTTTTATTTATTTTTAATATTTCGTTGGATGAGAGAGAGAGAGAGAGAGAGAGAGAGAGAGAGAGAGAGAGAGAGAGAGAGAGAGAGAGAGAGA